ACACAATTTATACTTGGAGTCGTGCAAGGACGGTTTGCGTCTATATTTGGAACGTGATAACACCACCGAAATGCTACCTGTGAAATTCAATTTATACGATTATCGCTGGCATCAAGTAGCCATCAGGTGAGTAGCATAGACAAAAATTGCTGTATTTTGGAATTTTAATATTTTTAAATTAAATTGTTTTGCTGTTAGTGTTTCCTATTTGTGGTATGGGATGACACTGCTTTGATATTGGAGACAGTAAGGTTAGGGACTAGGGACTAGGGATTTAAAATTAAAATTTATTACAAGTTAATTTAAGTAATAAATTTCATAAATAAGTGTGATTGTATAGATATAATCATATATAAAACTTTGGAATAATAAAAACAAATTTAGTAATAGCAGTTCTACTGTTATTTATTCTATAACTTTTACTAACATATTTACTGTTCATATTGTTTCAGGGATATACCTAGTTTCTTATAGCTCTTTTTGTTCTGTTAATGATAATGGATCTTCTGAATTTTATTGGATACTTTAGATTTCTTTTTTTCTTAGCTATCATACGTGTACCTCAATATTATTTTACTGATTTATTATATATCCATATGTTTGCATCTATTAACAGGTTGGTTTAATTTTACAGATTTATGAGAAAAGAATTTCATAACATATTTGTTAAATAAACCTGTGTATCGCGCACTACGTCTACACTGGCTAGACTTTAGCAAGTTTTCTGCATATACCCTTACGTTTTGACTAATACATACAAATTTTTCTTTGCTGACAAAATTCTAAAATATAGTATCTTTTAATTAAAATATAAAGATTTTGGTAAAGTTTAGTCATTGTGAACACTAAGTTATATATTATTATAGTTTTAATTCCTCTGCTTATGAATATCTGTACACCCTACGTACCATAAAGCATTCGGAAATTTTTTTAATGATTCGTTTTGACACATTTGTAATTCATTTATTAGCTGCGTTTCAGCAAATAATGATCTGATTCACTTACTCGCAAAACAATAACAACGCGATGAACTAGTAATTAATCTGATTCACGTCTTATGGTAGTTTAATGTGCAGTAACACCCGCAGCTTCTCAAATCCGTTCCTTCAGTGTAGTTTCATTAACGGCACATTAACGGTTGCTTAATAAATGAACCTCGTTTTGTAAGGTTCTCTGTTGAAAAGATAATACTCATAATTCATGAGATCTAAAACTCAAAACTTAAACAATATGGAAAGTATTGAAAATTGAGTGATTTTTACTTTTTATCAAAAATCAGCGTTCAATTCAATAATATTTGAATCAACTCAATTAGAATATAGCTACATATCTTTGTAATTTGCATATATAGTAGAAACTATAATATTCTGTTCCTAATGATAAAACGTTGGTACAAATGTATAAGAGGAGGTAAAGTGAATGTAAATCGATTTATTATAAGTTGCTATAAGGATCACGTTAAAGGCACTGCATTATTGCTATTGAATAATAGGCTATGAATGCACGCCGACCTAAAAGTAATGTTATACCACTAAAGACCCAACTAAAACAATTCAACAACCCAATATTAATAAATCTCGTAACTGCTATTTGATTTGAGACTAAGATTCCGCTTCCAAGGTAGTCAAGTCTAGTCTTGCCGCCGCTGGGCAGTTGCATAGAATAAATTCTATACTTTCCTTCTCCTCATGACAGAGTCGATAGAAATCACTTTCTACTGCACCTAAATTCTTCATGTAAGAAGTTCAGTGTAGAGTTTAATATTATTTCTGCGAAAGTTAAGCATTGCGTCAACTACTGAGGTGTACACGATCAATGAATCTTCTTGATTACCCAATGCCTGATTGGGCTTTCCAGTGTTCAAGTAGATTTTATTTCTCCCGTTCACATATTAAGTTATTTGTGAAACTATTTGTTACGACGCAGAAGGGCTCTGAACCAATGAAAAGAGTAAATACACGATTGGTAAATCTTGAGGCAAATATGTAACAGTTGAGATTAATTTAAAACACTCTAGATATTTTACCAGATTAGCAAGATTACTCTGAAAGGAACAGCTGTTTTATATGACTGGCCAAATAAAGTGTGCTTGATTCGCTATATCTATTCATGAATCATATAATTGTCTACTAACACTTCTAGGTATACAAATTTTAGATTATTCTTAAAATGTTCGATTGGGTTACAAAATATGACAGTGGGAGTTAGAAAAATATTTGGTTTTTTTTGTTAAGAGATTAAATCTTAAGATTAATTCTTAATGTCAAATAAAATGTGTTCATATTGCCATTGTCAAATGAACTATACTTGTCACATGTTGCTAAGAAAAGATCCTTTTTGTATGTGTCTATATCGTGAGTTGCTTCAGACATGATCTTTTAATGCAAGTTCGAATTAAATTAATTGAATACCTTGGATATATAAATAATAAATGGTTAAAAAATAATATTCTTTTTTTTTTATAATATCATAAAATACCATTAGTAGTTCCAACAAAAATGCTCACTTTTGTCTTTTTATTTAATAAATAATCCTCAACCTTTTTCTTTTTAATTTTGTTAACGTGGTGAGATACTTATTGTGTGCTGAGATACTTTTTATAGCTTCTGGCAAAAATGTATTTTTTAATATTTTCTTTTGTTTCACGTTTCAGCATACAAAATGGAGATTTTATTTCAGTTTTCGTCGACTGCTCCTGGACAAATAGTTTTATTGTTTCGAAACGTTTATTCTCGCTGCCTTTGGATGCGGATGTGGAAATTGGACGCGGATTTAATGTGAGTATTGGGAAATATTTTATTGTTTTGCCAAATGTTTTAAAAGTGATAAAATTTGTCAATAAATTTGTGGTTTGGTTTATTTAGAATTTTTGTTTACAATTTTTCAAATATTTATGTTTTTAAATACATATTTACATGGTTTAAGTTTTAGAAATGCGAAAAGTATACTTCGGTTAGGGGACATAATTAAACTTTATTTTATACGAATTATATATACTCAACATATATATATTTAATATATGCTTCACGAGAAGCATATTCATTTTTAATAAGTCGATTTAATGACATGATATAAAATTGTAAATATTTGTATCAAAAAAAAACGATAAATGATGAATCCCATCCTGCATGTACTGATACCAATTTCAGATGTTTTCTGAAATATTGAACTCATACAAATAATACCAATGCTCTGATTGAACTATTCGTTTATTCTGAGCATTCCATTATGCAAATAACTTAACTTACGTTAATTAATTATTATTATTCATGTAAACCAGGGTGAATTGCAGCAACTACTTGTCTTACCGGATAATCAGGAACGGCATCAGTGCTCGAACAAGCGCACTTCAATTAATGAAGTAAAGCGGTATATTATCGATACATTTATCGATGATTATGGCAATTAAATACTGCAAATATTTATACTATTTAATTATTTACAAGTAGGAATGTATAAAATATATACTTATATAAACATACAAGCATACTTTCACATATATTGGTATGTGAAAAAAATTCTTAAATTTAATATTGTGATTCATGTGTCCTAGATTATTTGAATAATATTATTGCAAATAAAAAAAAAATATTTAAAAATATCGAAAAAAGTAAATCATAAAAAATACGAAAAAGTTTTATTGTATGTAATTTTTTGACATAAAACAATAATTACATTAAAATTAAGTACTAAAAGTATTCTCATTAAAAAAAAGGATTAATTATTTTAATTATAAGTGTAGCAAAATATTTATGCAAAATTAATTTGAAGTAATTTATACTTAAGTAAACTTCGGGGAAAAGAATTACTAAAACAAAAAGTGATGGTATAATACTATAAATCACTGATTTATAGCAATGATATACATATGTATTCATATATATAATAATATATGGTTTAAAATTGTTAAACAATTTTTTATTCTAATTATTAATTTTGTTTTGTATAATTTTTATTAATTACTCTTGTGTTCTTTTCTTTTGAAATAATTCATATTTCATACACATGAAAAAGAGATTGATTAGTATTTCTTAGAAAAGCTAGACTTAGTTTTGTACTTATCTTTAAATAGAAACATTGATTTAATTGAAAAGGTAATGTCCCTATTGTTTTCGAATATTAAATTCAAAGTAGTTTTTGCAGAGGTTTTGTTAATTATTGATGCCACTTTGTACTAGGCTTCTGAAAGTATTAAAAAAATCCTTACGTGTTTTTAAATTTATAATTCGAATTTAGTATGAAAAACTCAGCTATAATATAACTCATTTCAGGTATTTTAAAGATTTTTTGTGGGGCAATATCATTATTGACAAATAATTTATTCCGTCGTGATTTGATTTCTTTACCGGTTTTAACAGTAATGTCAAAACAGAAACGTTCCATATAAAAATAGTAGTTATGAATCTAATAACTTGAAAACTTAATTTTAATTATGAATTTAAAAACAAATGAAAGCAAAGGAAGTTGAAGAAAATAAAAGTATTCTCTTTTCTAATTAGAAAGTCCTAAATTAAGATATATAAACCCAATCCATCTATTCAAAGACCATTAACCAGACTTCACCTAATAGAAAACTTCAATTTCAAACTAATAAAGTTGAGAAAAGTGCTCTTTAATCAATAACCCAAAATACCAGAAATTCATAGTATTACTCATATAACTACAATTTTATTTTATAAATACGTTTTACGACCTTTTAGTTGTGAAATTTTATTAAGAAAAAGGTTTTATCTGTAAACTTATTAACACTTGAGGTAAATTTTTTTTGTTAAAAAGAAATTATTTTTAATTAAATGGTTTAATAAATATTTTACATGAACATTTTTCATGATCGAAAAAATACATTCTAATGATAAAGTATTACATTAGTCGTTCTTATTTAGATATTTTAAATTTATTCTAGATTCGATATTTATTTTCGATCAGCTAGTGTCAGGTGATACCATTTAAAAATGGCTTCTATTTATTTAGTTGTTACAAAAGTTTTACAAAATTTTTCTACCTTTCCAACAACATTGTCATGAATAGGTGGCTTCACTAGAACCTACTTTAATTATTATTTCAATATAGTGCAAAAAAAAAAGGCTCATAGCCTTCATTAAAAGGCTTCACAGAACGCCTTTCTGCAGGATAGCGGCTCGTAACATAGCATCAGTGTTTAAGTATAAGTCATATGAAAATTTATGGATAATGGCAGGGCCAAATCCTTAATTCAACAAGAAAGAAATGCTAAAAATTGTTTTAGGCGAAATAAATCCAAACTCTCTCCCTGATTACTACATTTGTAATTGAACAATGTTCTATTAACTATAACCTTTCAGAAATGGAAGGAAGGCATAGTTATATCTACGGATTTAGCAAAATAGTAGATAAAATTCGAGATAAAATTATCATTTTATCTGCTAAGAAATGCCTCGAACTTCTCTATTTACTATTTATTAAGCTGAGTACAAATCCAAGTTGTGAATAAAGGCATATTTTTGGATTTGCTAATATTTTAATTTCTTAATATATAGAAGCTTTCCTTTAAAAAGATCTCGTACATTACGGTATTTTATTATCCACTCTAATAATAAAAATAATAGTTTCATACTAATTTTAAAAGCTATTCTCTTTTGCACTTATTTTCATTAAAGTTTTCTACTTGAACGTTCTTACTTCATTATTTCATTATCTTTAGTTAAAATATTTTTTTATAAAATTTTCAATTTTTGTCATTTATTTTTCATATTTTAAATTTCAATATTTGAAAATTATAATATAATAAATGAAAACTATATATATATTTAATATGTTTAAGCATTAAATGTAAAATTGCTTAAATATAAAATAAAATCAAAAATATACTGGCGGGAACATATTAAAATGAAGATTAATATTTAACTTAAACTAAAATATATAAAACAAAAAAAAATAATGTAAGGACAATTTATTTTGTATAAAAAATATCCTTTTTGTTTTGTTGTTTTACAAAAATATGACAAAACCGCTCAAGTTAGTATCATTATTTTATTTCATTACACAAAACTATTTACAGAATAAAAAATATTAAAGAAGATTAAATAAAAAATATATATAATAAGAACACAAATATACGAAATGAATGCGAAGGGAAGTGAAATGAAATAAATAAATAAAAATTGAAATAGAAAATGCTGTACAATTAATACAATAGAAGAACTACAAAAAAGTTAAGTAAATAAAAAATAAAATAATTAAAACTACAAACGAAGAAAAATTATCATTTAAAAGTATGCAAAAAATAGCAGAATAAATAAAATATTCGGACTGAAATAATGACAATTGAGTTTCATTTTCATTAAAGGAATTAGCAGTGAAGTATAAATAACAACTTGGAAAGTAAAAAGTAACATTTAAATGCTTTTAATCGGTCAAGTAAATTTTTAAAATGCGCTACACACAAATAGAAAGAATGTATTTCGAAATATGATTTCTTTTAACTGTCTGAGGACTTACAAAATCTTATTTCTAACTCTTCCATATTCCCGTAAATTGTTTTAACAAGGCAAGTGATACGTTAACACATCATCATCATTTTGACATCATAGTCTAGGATGGACCATTGTCTCCTCTACAATACGTCTCCATTCTTCTCTGTATTCTGCTTTTCTTCTGTGTTGTGTTATTCTCATCGTTCGGGCGTTGTCTTCTATATCTTGTAACCATCTTCGTCGCGGTCGTTCTCTTTTGCTAATCTCCTCTGGCTTTGTTTCGAACGTTTTCTTAGTCATTCCCTCATTACTCATTCGTAGGACGAGTCCATACCAGCGCAATATCTGAGCCTTTATGTATCGTGTTATAGTTCGATCTTCGTTCAAGACGTTTAATTCGTCGTTATACAGTATACAATATGTACTGTCTTCTTAGCACACCGGACCGAACATATTAATTTTTTTTTCGAATCTCAGCAGCAGGTCGTTGTCGGTCTGATGTCAATTCTATATATGCGCTGCTTTTGTTACTTTGATAGTAACTTCGATTTGAATAAATAAATTTTTTATTTATTTTACTATTACATGTTTATAGTCATGTTTATACTGTTGTGACCGTGTTATGTTCTCTTGTCCAATCCCAAAGATTTTTTCTAGCATTTTTTTTCAAATATCTTCTCTTCCATTCTTCGGTTGCGTAGATTCTAGATAAGACTCTGCTATAGGAGAGTGTGTAAGATATATAGATTTATAAATTAAGCATGAAATAAATACCACTAAATTTACATATCTGACTTTTACTGAAAATTGTAAACAAAATGACATCTATAAACACAAACTTTTCACAAAATTTTCATACCACTTTCTTCGCATGTAGTGTGCGCGCAATATAATTATTAAACTAAAGAAAAGGAATTTGTTTCTGAAATGAGTACACAAACTTTTACTGCGTGAACATTTAGGTTACAGTCTTCTATATAATTTTTTATTTTAAAATTTCGAAGAAAATGAATTTTAAATATACATTAAGCAGTCCTTGCAGCAAAATGTTGATTATTATATAAAGCTTAATAATTGTTAAGCATACTTTGAAAAACCATATTAGAGGACTATCATAAAATTAAATATTCTCAAGTAGATTTTAATTCAAATAAAGTTATATGATTATTTTATCACTTGGTGCTAAAGTTTAGATACTTGGATTGGTCGTATGTATTTCTCAAACTAAGAAACTGGCAGTTCTGTTATCATATTTTATTCCCTTTGCACTTATTTTGATACCAGTTGATTTTCTCCACATACTCATATGTTACTTAAAGCAAAAGTTTTTGCTAAAGTCAACATCCAATCAATTATTGTTA